GACCTAAATCACTATACAATAAAAGAAAATTATTGAGTTGGATATCAAAAGTTACTATCCAGAGGCTACTCTGGTACAGTATTTATAAATCTCTAAACAGTTAATTATAATTGTCTTTCTGGTTTTTGGGAAAGAAGTCAAATAGCAGTTTCGGTTACAACTGAGAAAAATATTTTGTGTTGGGCGCTGTTGATCTGGTGGATAAAACAACAAGTAAAATTCCCACAATGTAATACTCTGAAAGAAAATACAAGAAACATGAAAAACCACATGGGAACAATCAATAGATGCTACTTGAAAAAAAAGGATGGAAAGGTCAACAGAATGAGGGGAAAGGAGAATTACTGGAGCTCTCCCAACATAACTTCCAAGGCAGAGCCGATCCCAGACTCAATTTTCCTGGGTGCTTTGGAAAAATGTTATGGCTAGGGAGCACAAACACATAACATGGATCTAATATTCTTTATTTTTCTCTTCAAAATAATCCCCTGACCCTCACTTTGTATTTGAGGGGACAGAATGAGAATCAGGAAGGCTCAAGGGATAATAAAAAACAAATCCCCAGTACCTGAAGGTGACTTTTTTCCTAGGAAAACAACCAGTCAACATCTGTAGGAGGAACTGTAAGCTGAAAACAGGACTTCCCTTGTCACAAGTAAGATATCTGACTGAGTTTGTGAGTCATTTTTTGAAGAGATGGGCCAAGCTCCAACTTTACAGCATTTTGCATCTCAGATGGTATCTTAATGAAAACAATAGTTTGCCACAGCTTTCACTTTGGCCTTTCTGTTCTTGGAATCCAGGTCTCCCAAAGGCACCAAACTTCCTTGACAATTTCCAAAAGCTCATTTTCAGGACATTACAGTCTGCACCCCTAACCTCTAATAAGCATAAGGAGTTGCCCTGTCAGTTTTGAAATAATCGATGCAGACAACACAGGTCCAATTTGAAAGAGTTTCTTGTTCTTTCTGAGTAGAATTACACATATTTTATGGAAAGGAGACTAGCAAATCCTTCCAGAACAGTTGGTAAGCTTTTCCTTCTCAGGAAGGCACCTTGCTTCCATTCACAGTTCTGTGTAGTCATGTGTTTGTTCATATGCTGCTAGACAGCTGATGACAGAGATTTGACAACTTATATAGTTTACTGTCATCTGCTCTGGGTACTCCAGGGTCCTTTGTAGCTCTGGTCCAGAATATTTTTTTTTTCCTATGCCTTGGAACTGTGAGCTATTTTTTTCTTCTTTGGGAAGTTAAGGCAGAGGACTCTGTTTGGTTAAGATCCAACTATGGAAGGATTACTTAGGACTCAAGGCAGGCAGATCAGAGGACAAAAGTCTTGTCATACTATTTATAGAAAGTCCAGATAATTAATGCTACCCAGTCCAAAAGTCTGGGAATATTTTAACAGTATGAGGAGGTGCTAGCAAGTATTTGTTCCTACATGAGAACTGCTGTTTGTATTGAGTTCATCTTGAACTAGTAATGAGAAAGTCCTTTGTTGATATAAACCAGACTAATTCAGTAGACTTGCTTTCAGCAGTCAACTTAATCCATTGGGAATTGGTTGCTTTATTGTTACAAAACTTTCCCTATCAGGAAGGCTTGCTATCTAATGGTCACCCTTCCATTACTTCTGCAAGGCCTTTCCTCTCAGATTGCATCTGGGTTCAGTTGTCAGTGCAATGCTACATCCTTGGTTAGAAAGGGCATGTTTGGATGGATTTAGAAGGTTGGCTTGTGATGAATGTTTATAAATCTAGGGCTGGAAGTGACTTTGGTGCTAAAGCAGATGACAAGGGTGAGGCTTTGGGGAAAAAGGAATTAAATCCCCAAATTTGTGGGTTATTTGTCTGAAAAAAGGAATTATAGATATGGCCCTCTACTTCAGCACTGGCAATGACTATGGCTTATCTGATGGTTAAATTGAATTTGCTTTTTATGACACACTTCTTGTATTGGTGTTACCTTTTGTCTGACACTGGAGTGAGATAATCACAAAAACTGTACAGATTCTTGTGCATTCAATAACCTATCAATTAAATGACTGTAATTTTTTTATTTTTCAGAGGAATAAACATAAATTACATATCAGATTTTCATATGAGACTCTACTGTTTAGTGACTACAGAATTATACTAGCTTATTATTTAGACTAGCAAGGGTAAAATTATACTGTTAATTCTCTCACATAATACCTTGCAGCTGAGCCCATACATTTCTCAGGCTGCTCACACACTTTGTTTTATTTCTTCTCTTTAAAACACTCTGTCACAGGTCAACTGACATTTTTCCACACATCCAGATTTTCTAATGTCAGTGTTTCCTATGATCAGTAATAGAAGTCACATAAATGGACAGCACAGAACACTTTCACGGAATGAAAGTAAGGAATGTCTTAATTGAAACTCATACATTCAGATACAGAAAAATTCAGACTGGCAATACTTAAGGTTTGTACCAGCCAATGTGTTAGGATAAGTAAGTCAAACAATACACGAATGTTTAAGCAAATATAAAATGGCAACCTTCTGCAAATAAAGGCACTTAATCCCCAGTAAGGAGCTGTGAGGTGGTCCTACTATGCTGCTTGTTGACCAGCAAAAGTTGAATCACCTGGTTTATATAATTATGATAGTTGTGTTCACCATATGTTAAAGCTGCATTTCATAGCCAGAAATGTCACATTGGATATAATTTCCAGTAAAGTTTGTGCTGTCTATTGATGTAATTGCCTCTGACAGTCTAACCATTGTACTCAAGGTCTTTCAAGAAAATTTACTGTACTGAAAGAAATGCAACTAATTCAGGAGTTCTGGATACCATAAGCAGAGAATTTACTGGGAAGATAATTATTTTCTGGAGCAACTGGTTTTAGAAGAATCCCTCCCTAGTCAGTGTTCCCAGCTAAAACAGACTGCTGGTCACCTGCCTTATGTTATGCCCTGTTTCCCTAGAAAAGCTAGAGTCACCTCTTTTTTTACATGCACACAGATATTTACCTGAAAAAATGGCCATAATTTCTGAGTATGTGCTAACTTATTGTGCCTCTGCTGCTCTACATCAGCAACATTGAATAGGGTTGAAGGGATTTGGACCATAGCCCAAGTCTATACTTCCTAACCTGTAGGGTCTATGCTGTAGCAGCAATCTAGATATTATAGAATCATAGAACAATTTGGGCTGGAAGGGCCATCAGAAGGTCTCTAGTCTGACTTTCTCATCAAAGCAGGGTCAGCTATGATGTCAGCTCAGGTTCTTCAGTCAGGTCTTGAATACCTCTGAGGATGGACAGTAAAAAATGTTCATATAATGCACAAGACAGTTATATTGTTAGGCTTTTCCATCCTCATTCAGAGATGGTCTAAGATCCAGTGTACTCCTGGAGGTAAAATACAACAGCCAAGTGTTGGAAATATCACTAACGTCTGAGCAAAGGCATAAGAAGGAAATTCTCTCAGACTGCCAGTGCTCAGGAAGAATAAAGAAGGGAGGAAAAGGGTGAGACAAACAGATACTATTTCTTGGTTATTTTAATTATGTGTGATAGGAGACTGAGAGACACCCACCAAATAGCCAATAGCCTGCTAGTGAAAGTACACATTTGGTTTTGAAACACAAATTTCAAATCTCGGTCTAAATCAAAAAAACAAGGAACCTCCATGCCCATTTTCCACTTCTACAATGGTTTTCCTAACCATGACTATAAGTTATCATAGCATGTGCAAGTCTGTTTCACAAATTTTTAAAGGAAGAACTCTAAAATATTTACAGTAGTATTGTTTCTAGGCCACAGATTTGAAACTTCAGACACCTATGGAATTGAAAAACACTCCCTTCATCCTCCAAATCTAGTTGTTATCCAGAGAATTACTAAACCTGACTTTGAAAATTTAAAACTTTCTGTTTCCTGATACAATGTAATTCTAGTATTAATTTCCACAGTTTTATTGCTGATTCTAAGAAAGAGTTTTCCACATTCAAGAAGTTTCCATATTCAAGAAGTTGCACTACTGCCTCTGATGTTTGGCTCCTAATTCTTATTTCCTGATTAGAGTGTAAAGAAGAAAAGCTGAACTTAGTCTTAGTTCTCACAGTCCTTCAGGGAAAACTATCTCTAGGTCAGGCTCACAGGGAAATTGCAGACCAAAGCACTATCCTTTGTACACCTACATTTATAGCAGAGCTAGATCCAGAGGGAATATTTACTGCAGCACTTAATAGGCTTATCAAAGGTAGGACTTCAGATGCATAATCTGCAAGACCCTTCAGGGATGGGAAGATGATTGTTTTTACACTGATGGTCTTTGCCAGGGTGCTTATGACTGCTTTGCAGCTGCTTTGCACAGGCACAGTTGGTGTAAAATAGCCTTTGGCTACCTATGAATCAGTCCCCTACTCTCAGCAAAGACTGAAGGATTTTGTGTAATGTCCTTAAATGGGATGAGTACACGTCAAAGCATGGGAAGAAATCAGCTTTGAGTTAATTCTAAGTGGCTTTTTGACCAAGAAGGCACAGGAACAATAAAGACAATTTTAAGTTCTTGTTCCTTTTACTTTTTGGCCTGTATTACTCAGCTCTTTCTCTCTGTGGTTGCAATGTGCTTCATATAAAAAAGAAATCTTGTTAGGCAGAGGCTTCAGGTATTTCAAAGTGAGTATGAGTTAGCTTTGGCTATATAAACATAACTGCCCTGGTAAGAAAGCAACAGAGCAGGAGAGGGTAAGAAAGCAATGATTTTATATATATTATAGAAAAATTTAAAAATAAGAAAAAAATGTCAGTTTGACGTTCATTCATTTTTCCTCTGCAAGATGTGCTTTGTGATGTAGCAGAGAAGCTACGTGACTGTCCCTTTAAAAGCCATCACACCAATCAGCAGGTTTAACTGTCAAGCAAGCTGATGTAGGGCTCTTTGAATTACTGAGTGAGGGATATTCTTCCTGCCAGGTCCTGTCCCCTGTAGGCACTGCAGAGAAGTATTATAGGGCAGTCCTTACCTTGGGAATTAGCCTGTAAGACCCCAATGCTGTCATCAAACTGCATAGATTTGATGTTGAGTGACGCCAAGATGCATTCCTTGTCCTGCAGCGAAGCATCATCAATATTATTCTGATTGGCTGACAGGATAACGCACATGTCGCAGAGGTTGATGTTGACAGCCCTTAAATCAGCCCGACTTAATGGCGTACCCTTCGGCACAGAGAAAAAAGCGGCGGGGGGGGGAGGGCATGAGAGGAAAAAAAAAAAGAAAAACAAATTAAAGATTGAGAAGGAGCTTTGGGAAATTATTTAACAAGTATCTTTTTTATGCTCTGACATTAAGCTGGTCTAACTATGTGCCAGGGAATAGGAGATGTGTGCTAATCTAAAGGGTAGTTGGTGCTGATGGCAGCATTTTAGGTTCAGTCTCAATACTCAGTCAAGCTATTACTAACAAACAAGAAACAGGAATAATGCCAGCATTCTACATCTCATCGGTGACTTGAAATTGTCTTGATTTAAGTTGCTATCATGTGGCAACCTCTGGCTCTCTGAATATAACAAGGGGTGTGTTTTAAATGTCTATTTATCTACTACTAAGTCAGAATGGTCTTGGGCAAAAGAATAGCAATTTAAACAGGAAGGCAGTATGTGTCCTACACATTTGAAATGCAATCAGGATAAAGCTATTTTTTTCTACCTGAAGCAATACACAAAAAAGGTTAATCCTTTTCAATCCATGCTTTTTGTGCTTCTAGAAGGAAAACACACTGATCTTCAAAGTTGTGTGATTAAACCCTTTGAAACAGTGACAAGACTTTATCTTAATGGGCACAACTCATGCAACATTCTCTGCTTCCACAATTCTCAATCAGAGAATGAGATAATTAAAATGAAATGTTGTGGTAGTCCGCGGGGTTTTTTTGTAGTTAACACAACTGAGATATGACACTTAACTCATTATGCTTTGTTTGAAGATGACATTTGCCTTTCACATCCAACAGTCCACATCTCTAGTTACAGAATATTAAGCCTATGTCACAGGGTTTACAAGGTCCAGGAAAAAAAAAAAGCTTTTTTATGGAAACTAGATTCTGCTCTGCTGCCTCACACGGTTTGGTACCCAAAGACCCTAATGATGATGAGGAGACTAAGCTGTCCCCTTGTCACACAGCGACTTTCCTAAAACTGAGTCAAGACCCTACTCTTCCATCGCCTGATCACTCACAGTGAACGACTCCTGAACTCCACTGAGACTATTCAATGCAAAAGTGAATTTAAAATCCACAAAGCGAAGGCAGAGCTCAACTTTTATTCAGTGAATGCCACCCAGTTTCTGGTACCAGCCTGACTACTCCACATTCCTTTCAATAATTTGAGGCATAAAACCTTGTGGAAAACATTATATATTGAATAGATATAATTTAGTTATAAAGTACTCAAAAGTTAGGATATGATTATTCCTGCCACCTTAATTCTGCCCTTTGTGTCTGTACAGTGCACCAAGTGAAGCAGGATTCCTGTGGGGAAAAATAATATGCAATCATGTAATTAATTAAAGGCTTACTACTAATGATTTTATGCAAAGGGACAGAATTAAGGCTGCCTGAGGATATTTAAAATTGGAATTTGCTCACTTTCTAAGAGTTTACTCAGCAGCTTAAATGCATCTTTTAATATAGACTTTAAATGAAATTTCCACTTTTTTTTAAAACTAGAACAAATGTTTTTATATTCAGCTGTAACTACATCCCGATCAGATATCAGGAGCAAGTTTTACCTCGTGAACTAAAGCACAGAGAAGCAGGAAATTAGCTTGAGTGGCCTCCCTTTAACACATGATTCCTACCAGTATGACCTCAGAAACTTTAGTACACTTTTAAATTGGCATAATTAGATAGAATACCACTGATATTTTTCACTTTGTATCACCACTTTGAACCAGATAGGCTAAACATTTTTTTAAAAAAAGAAAAAGCACTAATGAGGTCTGTGTTGTCTTCAGCACACTTGATTACTGCATAAGATAGAATTCCTTTACATATTCTTTATTTTAAAAGATGCATTAACTATTTAAGCTGTTTAACTTGAAATTAGTCCAAAACTACTCTAAATCTGGTTGCAAACCGGAGAATGTAAAGGTGGTGTACATTTCCTTAATGCCTCTTTGGAATTCAGAATCGAAACTTTAAAAATACACATTATAATGACAGATACACATTATATACTGGATACTTTGGAAGCAGTAGCTGGATTCTATCTATTGTGCTCCACAGTACAATAGTATTAATTTAATTCTGATTCCTTAGTCTTTAGCCTTCACAGTGACTGGAATTAAAAGGGATTGGCAGAAAGAGGAGGATATTAACTGACCAAATCTGATATTGACACCATTTTTGTGACAGCAGAGAATCTTGTGACACCATCTGTTGGATCAGTTTACAGAAAAAAGCCAAGGGCTAATAATAAAACTGCATTTACGGTAACAAAGACCTACAGCCTGAATTAATCAGAAAGTGAAGGTAGTCTTTCCATTCTAGAGCTATTTTACTGATTCTTCAGTTTAAGTTACATCCATCATTGATTTATTTAAGTGCTGAAATTTAATTATTAAGGACTGGTAAATTCATAATTTTTCATTCTGATAAAAACATACAAACTCGCTTTACTCTGTAACCTACAGTGCATTCTCTTTCATACTTATACTGCTAGCTCATTTCCCTTCTGCCTATGTGTGTGTGGGTCATTTATAGCTATGACCACCTAAGATGACTAGCTCGGGTGGTTTCATTTGTTTGTCCTGGAGCTGTTTCTACATTTTGGGCACATGGGTAATTATAATGATATATAGGAGAAAAAAAGACCTTTGAATTGTGGTATTAGTGGTTGTCCCTACAAAAAATCAATAGGAGCTTTTCATTGATTTCAAAAGGGTCAGGGTTTTGCCATACTTCCATACATGAGTATGGCAGGACTCTGAACTGAAATGCTATGGCAATGTTCCTTATAAAGTAGGCCAGCCTACAGGAAGGTTTTATGAATATAGTTAGATATTGTGTAGATAGAGTAACAGTATTTTCTTCAAAGGTTTTGTGGGTATAAATTCATAAATAATGTCATAAATAACTACTGTCATTCTGTCAGGGAAATCACAACATCACAACTGGCTGCATGCAGTGCACTACAGTGAATGTTCAATATATAACACAGCTAATACATTTGATAGCAGCTGAAATTCATCCGATGAGGAATCCGATTTCAGCAAATATCTTCTAATAAGGTCTCACAGGGCTCTGTTTTCATAGACACAGTAAAGGAAAAATCTAAGTCCTCAGGCCTATAAGTAGACAAAAGTAAAAAAGCCTAAGATCAAAGTCAATATGAATTTGTCCAGTTGGTGTCCTAAATAACAAATATCAATAACATGGCTTTGGACTTACAGGCAAGATTGAAACCTTGGGGAAGTTATGCAGTGTCTCCCATTCCCTTCTCAGGTATTCAAGTGAACCCACAAAAACAATGTGCTTGAGCTCATGGTAGTGAAAGTTGCTGGCTCGTAATGGCATCACTAAATTCCTTAATCCAATCAAAGCAGATTTAACATCCCCAAATATGCAAACGACTACATGCCCACTTAAAACTGTCATCGCTGCTTCACTTCGAGTCTAAAAAAAAAACAACAAACAAAAAACAGAAAGACAAGGGAGAAATGAAACAAAGGGAAGCTTAAATCATATACTGAGTTTTAAAACGGAAAAACACAACTGCCAATACTGTTCATGCACAAAGACGCAGTTTGAAAATAGCTGTCTGTTTTACCATTATTTATCCTTCAATAAACATGCTCAGCAGAAGAAAATAGGACTGGATTAAATTCTGGTCCTCTACACATTTCTACACATGTGGTTTAAGACTTTGGTTACAATCAAAGTCCTATGCATTTAGCTAAGAACAGAATTTGAACTACTACGCATTTAGCCATTAGAAGGATTATAGAAAAGAGATGAAAAACTATGCCTTAGCTGACAAATCACTAGTGGGTTTTTTCAGGACCAATTTGAAAAGGAAAATGAGACTGCCTAGTGGTCTTAGTAAGCCACTATATGCCTACCATACTCCACAGGAGCTTCTCTCAGAAAGAAAAAACTAGTGTGCAAGATCATGACGAATAGTAACTTCTCAAGCCCACTGGAATTCCTCAATTGTTGAACAGATAGAAAAAGTCTCATGGAGAACATTTGAATGAACAGAATTATCTTCTTGTCTCTGTGACAAGAACAGATTTTTGCACTAATTTAATCAGTGGTAATGTCAGTTGAGCAGGCAACTCAAATACTAAGATGATTAAATAAAGTAATTAGAAAAAAAATGACTTTCCTTTCTGGAGCCAGTCTTAGCATTATTGCACTCCATCAAGTAGCTGCAGATCCACTGATATCATATTGCCAAGAAGTTGTACAATTATGTAGAAGTTTTGTCAGTGAATGAAACTAAAACAATGGTGAACTGCAAAATTTTCCCCTCTTATCCATAGTTTATGTTCCTTTTCTAAATTATGGAAGCATGATAAAGTGCAATACAGATTGGAACATTCAGCAAAAGTGTTCACTATGTAAGAAGAATGGGAACTCTGATTAGATGTTTTCTCATCAGTTAAAAAACATATGAGCTCTCAGTTTTTCTGGGGCAATTACACTGATTTTTATTCAACTCTATCAAGAGAGTAGTCTTGGCCCTTTGAACAGCAGAACACAGGAGTGAATACTCAAGTGAAGCATGTAAGTTGTCCCATGCCTCCCTCTACGGGTCAGGAATACTCAGACTTTACAAGACAGAGACCAAGTCTTGAAAGAAACTACATAAAAAATTTCACTCTACAGTCACTGATCTGTGTGTAGTCACATACATTTGACTGTATGTCAAAAAAGTTCTTACTACCTGATACTGCTGGAATCTCGCAGAGCCAAAACAGATCCTGTGCAGAAAAATGAATTCTTTTGTGATTAAGGCATCATCAAGTATCAATTAGAAGACAACTTGGGAAATCCCATAATCTTCAAATTATTTACTAATTTGCACTTGTGTGGTCTCTAAGGACAGTGTTAAATTTGCATGAATATGAATGTAGACATAAATTGTGTACAGTAAGTTTGAAAAGGTGTAAGACAGCATTTTGCTGTCAGTGTCTTTATTGGTGATGATGCATGAAGCAGAAAGGACCCGGCCAGACTTACGGATTCACAGGCTATTATGGGGGAGAACCGAGACAGCATCACCAAGAGGTGAAAAATGAGGCGCTCCACAGTGCTGTTTTTGGAGAAACACTTTTCAAAGTGGGACAACATGTAAAGGTGGTCTGCTAAAATGTGTTTAGAACACGAAGGCAGATTTCTATTTCTATGTCTATTACAAAGTATTGTACAGCAGGGCTGCCCCTCCTTGCCAGCTGAATACATAAAATGCATACTATTTAAAGCTGTTCAGTCAAACTCCATCTCACAGCTCAGTCTCTAGAATTTGGAATTTACTTGCTTGACTGTTTAAACACCAATATTGAAAATCTAGGCAATGTCATGGTTATTACAGAAGCCCCTGAGGAGAAGTGGAGACAAGCTTTTAACCCCTGATTGCTAAAATAAACTGGGGCTGTCACCATCACCGGCTACACCAGGCCACAGTGCAGGAAAATCTAAGAGAGCAGGCTCAGCTCTATGAAGTGTGACAAAGTGAAGATCCACTAGGGAGTTCATTTCAAATATCATCAGTTTTGCGTATGAGATCTGGAGTTAGTTACTTGTTACTCTTAGGCATGAGTACATGAACACAAGTGGCACAAACTTTCACCAAGCAAAATAGACTGTGATAGGCCTTTTAAATGACCTGAGTCAGTTTGATGGTTTCCTCAGAAAACCAAGTGAAACATAGACTAGGCTCACTGCAACATGCTACAGAAGCAAAGTAGTAGTAATGCTTAATCTTAAGAGTGGAAAGTTTACATAAATAAATAAAAGATAATGCAAGGCAACACTTGCCTGTATTAGAATCATTACTGCCTTGCGTAAAGAGATAAATGGGGTACCTAAACCTTTAAATATTTCCAATCTTAATTCTCTAAAGATTTAAACTCAATATTTATGAAAATAATTGTCAATTTTGGACCAATTTTTGTTGTTGAACTTGGCATACAGACTTACATAATCATAATTCTTTAACCAAAATACTAGCTTTGATTTTTCTTTAACCAAAATACTAGCTTTGATTTCACCATGCTGTTTCAAATTTCAATACACTCAATTAAATGACAGTAGAGTTTAATCTATTAAGACATTAGACATCAATTCTATGGTTCAAATAACCTCTTTTCAAACACAACTTATCATCAATACCTACCAAAATGACCTTTTCAATGTCCTTGGCTGGACACCAATGAAACATCCCTGTAGAGTCATATTTTTTCACATTGGCATCCATATTGTCAATCTGCTCGTTGCCAGGAATTAACAAGGGGTCATGCCTGGGGAAAAACAAGTTGAGGACAAGATAAGTGGAAAATATTATGAATTATGAATGGAAAGATATCCCAAGAGCTGTGTACAAAGAGGGATTAAAGTAAAAAAATGTCGTGTATTACACTTTAACATGCTTTCAATGTGGGCACTTTTAAACAACAGCTGAAAAGAAAAAAACTGACAATTTTTAAATTTTGGGTGCAGTGTCAAAGATTTTCTATACTCTTTCTGCACCAATAAACATTTAATTTTAAACAAGGCTTTCTGACACCATCACATCCATAAAAGTTTTTCTCTTTCCAGTCCCACCCCTCCAAAATATATACTGGAGTTGCTATTAGCATCTGCAATGAAGTAGAAGGGATAGGAACAGAGCCCCATGCTGACTGACTGGCATAAGTATGGAAAGCCAATTACTTGCTTTTACCGCATACAACTTCTGACGTGATGCTCTTCGCAGTAAAAGCTTTAACAGGCTGCACTTTAAATATTTTAGCAATTTGCCCAATCATATTTTGCTTTTCCAAACTGAAGCCCTTTAAAGATTCAACAGTATGTCATTTTAGAGCACACTGACTAACAAATGCCCATATCTGGAATACATGATTTTAATACCAAACAACAATGTCCATTTCCTCTGACAACTCTACCTGTGATAACCTTCTAAGTGTTTTTGCAGCAAGACTTTAAAGCACAACGTTTCTCAAAGGAGAAGAAAATAAAAGAAACTTTTATAAACTTGCTATCCAGCAATATAGTTCCACTTAGGCATAAACACATACAGTTCTTTACTTTATATGCTAAGATCAAACATTGAGCTAAGTACTGACTCCAACACTCTCAGATGCTAGTAAGGACCCCAAAGTGATTGCATTACACAATAGCGTTAGAAGGAGGACCATATTTACAAGGCCAGGGTAAACTGACCCTAAAATTTCAAATTCAAGGAGGGAACAGATATTTGTCTGGCAAAACGACAGTCTTTACTTAAGGCTTTTGTCATGAATGCTTGAAATATCCTGATAAAGACTTGTAACATTTTAGAGGAATTATTTGCAATGTAAGAATATGCTAAGCACTCCAAGATAGGTAGCCAAAATTTAAAGCAGTTTGCCTTTCGAAGCCTGTTAAAGAAATGCCCATTTTGGCTGACCTCTCAGAACTGGAGAGTTTCCTGCTTTTAAAGCAGTCTGTAGTAAGAAACTCACTTCTGCATTGTTTACTAAAGCAAACTTTGAACTGTGTGTATGATACAGTTAAAATTACCCTGAATATAGTGCAATAAGTTATAATGCTGTCCTGGTTTGAGCTAAATAGAACTAATTTTCTATTTAGTGATTCTACTTTTCAGCTCAGTGTCTTCTAAGTGGCTGTACTTGCTGAAAATAACGGCATGTTTTTCCAGACAGTGTGTACTTCTACAAGTGATAATGACAAGGCCATTGTCTCACCATGGGTGCCGTATCTGCACCTATGGGGAGGAGCAGACCCAAAACTGACCAACTAGGTATTCTATCCCACATACATCATACTCAATATAAAGCCGAGGGATCACGAGGGTCTTGACCCTTCGTTCCAACTCTACCTTTCTCGATCCTTCCCTTCTCTTCTGCTCCTGCAGCGGCCAAGGTCTGAGCAGAACCCTGCTAGTTCATCTGCCTCTGATCCTGATTTGTGTGTTCTGCATCCTGCTCCCACCTGCTGCTGGGTCTGGTCTGGGACTTTTCCAGTGCCCTGCTCCGCAGAGCCTCTGGTTACATAATTGTCATTAGGGGATGTGGGAGGAGGATTTTATATTGGTTTTATATATATATTTGTACATATCTGTATATATTTAATTATGTTCGTATTTACATTATTAACCTGCAGTATTAGTACTATTGTTTCATCAAAACTGTTAGTTCTATTTTCCAACCCATCAAGTCTCTCTCTCTTATTCTCTCTCTCTTCCCCTCTGGGGAAGGGAGAGGGGTTAATAGAGAGCGTCTGTCCAGGATTTAGTGGCCAGCACAGCCCTAAACCATGACACATGCTTAAAACAGTTGTGCTTGCATGCCTAAGAAAGGTATGATTTCTAATTCCGCCAAGATGCTTAATATGCATAATTTTATAGCCTCTGATTATATATCCATTGAAATCAGTGAACAATTCTCATTCATTTCACTCAAACAGGGTCAACTGCATAGAAAGCAGCTTAAAAAAACTCAAGAAACTGTTAATATAGTGTTCCATTTAAACCAGAATCTTTTGATGCTTTAAGAAAACACAATGCACTACATGGCAAAGGCATAAGTCAGACTCATCTGGAAAAATAAACATTATGTTTTCAAAGTTTTTCAATTCACTCAACAAAGATACAGTTCAGTGCATTTCACTATCCACCCAGTGGCAGCAGAGGAGTCTCTTGGAACCTGCCTGAAGTCTCTGACCCTACTCCAGGTTTAGGAATGAAAGGCCGTGCTCCCTCTTTTGTGCAGGAGGAGGTGACTTCTTGGTGCAAAAGCAGTACCAAAGCATTTTGTTGAGGCAGAGGAAAGGGGGGGTTGTACTTGTTTAGTTTTATTTTAATTTCTAGGAAAAAATCTAGAAAAACATCATTTCTTAATCCAGTTGTCAGTGAACTGCAGTCATGGTAGTTTTGGCTGAGAGCTACCTGTGATGCTGTTCACTGGGCAATCCTTGCTGCTGATAGTTGTATGTGGCACAGTAAGGTCTGCAAGCATGGATACAGTTCCATTTGAATGTTCAAACAACATTTAGTTGTACTCTGTCCTAGATATTTTTTCTATGGAATGTGTTAGCTAAGTGTTTCAAAATAAGAAAGTTTGCCAGAAGGTTAGGAATCTTCAGGAGTTTTTCTTTCTGTTTTGTCTTTCTTTCCCCCCTAAACTTTCACCAGACATTTCTCCACGAGCCTTCCATAGCACAGCACTGAAACACAAGCACAGTCCTCTGATCAAATCACCCCCTTTTTCTTTCAGAATCTACATGCATATAGGAAGGAATTTTCATTTTCATTTTACTTTTCCCTTCATCAGTGGTAATTAGTGTGTGAGTTTTCTTTGGGTAAGGGGCCTTGCATCGTAAAAGGGAATATCCAAGGTAGCTTGCACCAAAGATTTATTAGAACTTACCTCAATGCTATATTTTCTAGTTATCTTAGGTTTAAACAGAAGTGTGCTATGGAAGGGGAGAAGAATGTGAATCATCGGATATAACTGCCTATTGAAGTTTTAGGTAACAAATTGTGATTTTTTTTTAATGTATACATGCACTTATTTGCAATATGATAAACTCTTTGGATCCTCTTCTTCACTGCTTGGAGTAAAGCAAGTGGGAGCCTTAAAAGAAGCAAACAGTATGGGTCACACAACAACAAAGTATGCTAATAGATATCATGGTATTACTTTTACTCTAGAGAATGGACTATTGCCTGAGAAGGAAACCATGATAAGACTATTTTTCAGAATCTATGGGGTTTTACATAGAAGTGTGTTTATTAAATTTAAATCTTCTAGGCTAAGATGTAATTTTAATCTCTCTTCAATCAATGATTTTTCATTTTCAGTAAAGTGATCCTTGAAAATGCCTATAGAGGTTGAATACTGATTACTAAGGTGCAATTTTGTTCTCAGATGTTAGAAGATATGTATTTAAGACATGTAAGGCTGATGTACTTAAAAACTGAATTGATCTTTGGCCTTTTTTAAAAAAAATGTTATTTTATGAAGTAATAGAGTAATATAATAATATTACTACTTTGGACGTACACGCTTTCATTAATCTGATGATCTAAACCTGTTCTGCAAATACTGAAAATTAATTAAGACAGACACACAGAGGCCAAGGCTGTCAAATCTGCCTAAGGGGTCTGGACACCCTCTTCCCATTGAAATTCATATTACACAAACCATTACAGTTGTTGTCCTTATAGCCAAATCAAGGACTGAATATTTCTAGACCCTCTCTGTTGCCCTCACCATTAAAGATGGCCCTGTTAAGCCATGCTTGAGTCACATTGGGAGGTTACTGCAGGAATACTTGTATTAGTGCTGCAGCTATTATAGGCTCTAGGGCTGTAAAGTCATCTGCTTGAAAAACACTTGAAAAATTAAAACTATAGAAAGAAAAATACTTTCTATCAATTGAAATCCAAGTGTTTACTTTAAAGACCAAAGCATTTTGTCATTTGTGAGCAGCTACGAAAATACAGGCACATATATATATATATATATTTATGTAAGTATATATATGCATGTATGTATAGCATCCATGGCAGAAAAGGAGCAAAAGTTAAACTTCTCTCATCCATAACTCCAGTTTAAAAATAGCTTTCTGGTTCTTATGGCAGATATTACATACGCATGAACTAAAATGAAGAGCAAAATACCATCTTTTCAAGGTTTTGAAGAACATATAATGCCACTTATGATCAATTAAACTTGAAAACGACGCTAAATGCCAAGCTACAGCAGCAACCCCAAAAAGCCTGCCTGGAAGACAACAGCCTGAAGCAAAACCATAAATCCTATTCCAGCAAACCTACTGTGAGGAAGTCAACATTACCTTTTAAAGAGCACTGCTTTCCTAGCACACATTTATAACTACTGCAAACTTATTTACTTGGGAGTTTTTGAATCTGGAACTTGTGAGTAATGACTGGGGATGGACAGAACTGAAAAGGCCATTGGAGTCAAATGGCTGCCTCACTAAACAACTACTGTTTAGCATATCCTTGGGTTTTGTCACATTTGTCTCAATACTCCTGCTATCACTCATATGCAATTGAGCATTAGAGCTATATACCCTCATTGATTTGCTTCGTATGTTGAGCACTGGGAACAAGAATACTATATAACCAGTAAGGAATCTTGTATTGTTTGAAAATAAACTAATCTGTTAGTCTTTGCACATCAATAAAACAATTTCACTGCTAGTTTTTATTCTGCCCTATAATAAAATTCTTCTTATATAACATCAATGGCAAAATACCCCTGGAATACCT